CCTCTAGCCTACCGCTACTGGGCCTCTAAAAATGCCAACTTTTTGTCTTCTTCTGCTCGGCCTCCAGTACCCGGCACTTCTACCACTACTTCAGTGGTACCGGCCTACCTGCTACTTGAGTGTTTTTCCCCTCTGCTCTAAGTGCTGCGGGCCTACCCCCGCTACTCGAGTGTTTTTCCCCCCTGCAACACTTCACAGTCACGGCCACAGGTAAGTACCGGCCCTGCGGGGCCTTTCAACCAACAAGTACCCTTGCGGGTTACACACACACTCAACCGACAAGCACTCAGACAGGCATGCAAACCAGCAGGCACGCACACACACACAGACATGGAAATCACAGCAGAATGCGGGAATTTCAGCAAGGCATTCATTCCAGCAGCAAATCCCAGAAATCAGCAGTGTTCTCAGTCTGTGTTTTTGGCGGGTCATTACATTAGAATGAATGGAAAAAAAAAGGTCCTTCGGGACATCTGTGAAAATTGGAAAGATACAGAGAAGATTAGCATGGCCCCTGCGCATGGATGACACACATAAATCAAGAAATGTTCCAAAAAAAAAAAACTGGAGGGTTGGAACTTGGAAGTCTGAGCGTTGGCTATCAAAGTCGAGCATTTGTAATTGATCATGACGATTAATCCGTCATAAGAATGTGTGAGCTTGTGTCTGTGAAGCACTAAAACATGATAAAAGCTTCTGCAAAAAGCCAGCCAATAAAAAACGAAGAAGCAAGTGCTGAATCTTCTTAACCTTAGGAACAGAGCAATCAGTCAGTGCGTCTGAAATACGAATAAATCATTATTTGCGTACAGATCAGCATATGAGAGCGATATGGTTCAAGATTTCTATATACATCACGCGCACATACGCACACGCATACACACAAACACACATAGCCAACTTTGCATCTTTTACTTTACTGTCTATCTATACCTTTTCTGTTTTATGGATGGTTTGTGATGACTCATGGATGGAATGAGAGAATGAATTTGAGCTCTCTGTCCTAGCAGATTTGAGCGGTTAAATTCGAGCTCATACTAGCGACCTATTCTTCTCTTGTGGATGAATATGTTTTGTGGGTTTTGTTTATTATACATGGCCTAATTCTTCGGCCTGCTTTGCAGCATGGGCTGTCTTTTCGATGAAGGAATGTCTGTGGGTGGCCACAAATTTTTCTTTGAATGGGAATGTATGTTCGGAGTTTTGGCCACACTATCTTCACGAGGAGGCTCAGAGAATGTTTGCTGTGGTTGTCATTCCCACAGGTTGCTCTTTTGAGCACATATAAGAAATGGGGAAGCTTCTAGGATGTTTTAATGCCCGTAGTGCTCCTGGTGTCTCATGGAGATCTTGTGGAGTTTGGCGTAGTACATGCAGTGACCTTGCTGTTAGTGGAGCCTCTTGTGTTATGGTGCGATTTTTGTTTTTAAATTTGTGTTTTGTGTGATTGTTGCTCGGTAATTGTGTTGCCTTATGCCCTCCATACTTTTATAGAATATAACATACTTGTGCAAGCATGCTGCTCTGGCGGCTGATGGGTGTGTGTGCACTTTAAGCTTAATCACAGAAACATGCCTAACCTTACATCTTCTACTATACTTTCTATGTACACCTTTTTTTGTTTTATGGATGGTTTGTGATGATTTGTGATGGAATGAGAGAGATAATTTGGGTTTTTTAAGAAAACACACACATGGTTGGTGTGAGTGGAGTCAACCACTTTTCTGTGTCTCTTGGGTATCGCTAACTCTGGGCGACGTGGCGAGTCTTATCCATCAGTTCAAATGCATGCTGGGCAGACTGTCAAGGTTCAGCCTCCTTATGAGTGGGTGAAAATTGTTGAAACCGTCTGGCAGAGCCGTGCTTTATCATGGAGTTGTGAATAGTGCGAGGCATAAGGCCCCGATGAGCCCCTTTGACCCTGCAAGCAGCACTGTCGGCCGCCCTAAGTGAAGGCAGGCCCGATCAAGGCCACCAGGCCTATTTTCAGGCTACCACGCAACTGGGGAAAATTCAGGCAGTTGCGCAGCGCCAGTTGGTTGAGAGCGCCCAGGCCCCGGCTGCCTTCTTCGCATGCAACTGAGGCAGGCCCTGGGCCAGATACTCAACATGGGCCGAACCCAGGCTGTGGGCAGTTGGGCATAAGCAACCGTCACAGGCCCTGGGCCTGATTCGTTAGGACCGGGGCTCAGCCTCTCGGGGCCTACCGGAAGCTTCTGGGCCGAGGCCCAGCACAGCCTGGCTGCACGCAGCTGGCAGGGAACTTCCGTATAGGAAAGGCCCTGCCCCCGAATTCGGGATTCAGGCACTGGCTGCATGCTGCACAAGCACTGCTGCGCTAAACGCTGGCCAGCGCTCATGCGCTCACGGGCGAGCTGAATGAGCAGGCAGCCATAGCCGAGCTGCGCTGCACTATGCTGGATGGGGCGCATGGTGGTCCTTGGGTGCATGTGGCATCTGTGAGTGGGGGATCGAGGTTGTGAGTGATACGAGAGACACACCTGGTGCTTGAGGCGAACGGCATTGGTCGAGATCTGCTCGTACTTTGGGGAGCTGTTGACGTCACCAGTGGCATTGTAGATAGGCTAGATAGGATCTGCCATTTGTAGTCTGGGTGCAGAGCGCCAGATAGGGTATCGACATGGGTTCATTTTTTTATGATGATGAGACCATTCCAACATTGTCACTTGTGAGCTTTTGCTGTGCTCTTTTTTGGTGGAACTCGTGTTGCAATTCTGCTTTTGGTTCGAGGTCACGACTATCTGGTCTCATGTGTATGATGCTGCTTGGTTTCTGAAGTTCGCTATCACTCATTTTCCTTGCAATTTGGTATTGGAGCTGTGGTACGTTGCGCTAATCTGGCGCTTGTCTTCTGCCTATGCGGTACATGCATGCGGTCTGCTGGGTGAGCGGCCGTAGGGAGTGTGTAGTGAGGAGGGCGAAGGCAAGCAGGCGACCCAGGTGGAGAGGGGATCGCCAGGAAGGCTACGTGGTAATTATTGGGTGTTGCGCAGTGTGATGAGAACTATCTGATGTTCGATTGATGCTGAGCTGGAACGACGGTGTAATGCTGGTTGTGCCGAAGCAGCGATTGGTCATCACAATCGGCATCAGGT